ATCAAGCATAATAAACCCACCCCCTCCCCCCCCTCCCAAACCTAATGCGTCGACTCCGTCGGACTAATCCCCTTCTCCTCCCTCTCCTCCCTCTCCTCCCTCTCCTTCTCCTCCCCCCTCCCCTGCCCCCTCCCAAAATTCTGGTGCTCCGGCTCCCTCCCCCCACCCACCGCGCCAACCGTGCCGACATCGACGGCATGCCCCAACTCCTGCTCAAGCCCCACATAATCATACGCAAACTCGCCCATCTCCGCGTCGTCCACCCCGAGTATCTCTGTTTCTTCTGTGCCGCGGAGGGAGAGGCCGGGGATGAGGTGCATTGTCCATAGGATGAGGGTCTGTGCACGAGTAAGGGTTAGGATTTGTACGGTTCGGGATTTGGACAGTTCGGGATTCGGACGATGAGAGGAAAGGGAAAGAAGGAAGGAAGAAAAGGAAGGAAGGAAGGGAAGGAACAAGGAAAGAAGGCGAAGGGAGAGAGGAAAGGACGTACAGTAACAACGAACGAATACCCCAACCCCGCCATCGAATCCGCCACCTGATACCCCAGCTGCACCCAATGATGGTCGAACCACCCCCCTTTTATAACTGTGAACCCGTCGAAAGAGGCTACGGAGGCTTGGGCGAAGAGGGCGGTCATGATGTTGCCTACGATGCCGCCTATTGCGTGGGATGCGAAGATCTGTGGAAGGGAGTGGGGGTGGTTAGCGTGGGTGTAAGAAGAAAGGGAGGGAACGCACGTCGAGAGCATCGTCGTACCCCGCGATGAACTTGAGCTGCGTGGCAAAGTTACATGCTGTACCCGCTACGAAGCCGAATGCCACCGCTGCAGCTGCGTATTTCACGATATGATTAGGAAAAGGAGGGAAGACGGGGTAAAAGAGGGACACGCACGAGCGCCGACGAAACCAGAGGCGGGGGTGATAGCGACCAGCCCTGAGATGGCACCCGAGCAAAAGCCCACCGCGCTCCATTTCCTCTCCAGTCTATAATCCTATTCCAAGCGTCAGCTCATCGAAAAAGAAGACAGAAAGAGCCAAAAGGAGAGAGAAAGAGAGGCAGACTCACCCAAAGCATCCACGTCACCCCCCCCACACTAGCCGCCAAATTAGTCACCACACACGCCTGCGCCGCCCTCAAATTCGCCGACAACGCGCTCCCCCCATTAAACCCAAACCACCCAAACCACAACAACACCGTCCCCAGCACCACATACGTCACATTCTGCGGTCCATACGCCAGCCTCGGTGTGCCGTACCCCCTCCTTTTCCCGAGAAATATGGAGAGGGCGAGGGCGGCGGTGCCGGAGGAGATGTGCACGGGGGTGCCGCCGGCGAAGTCGAGGCCGCCCATGAGGAAGGACCAGCCGGTGGGGGACCAGGTCCAGCAGGCGATGGGGTCGTACACGAGGGTGGACCAGATGAAGACGAAGAGGAGGAGGGGGCCGAGGCGGCCGCGCTCGGCGATGGCGCCGATGGCGATGGCGGGGCTGTGGGATTGGCATTGGGTTAGGTTAGGTTAGATGGGGGAGGGGGGAAGGGAGTTACGTGATGGCGGCGAACATGCATTGGTAGATGCAGAAGACGAGGGCGGGGATACGGGGGCTGCCGACTGAGGGCTCGGCGAGGACGCCCTTTAGGGCGAAGTATTCTGTTAAGGGGGGGGTTAGGAGATGACAAGGAGGGGAGGGAGGGTGTACAAACTCAGGTTCCCGATGAACTTGCTCCCCGTCTCGCTAAACGCCAGGGAGTACCCCCAGAAGAACCACTGCGATAGTTGCTTGGTCAGAGGGGGCTGTGTGGAGGGAAGGGAAGACGCACCTGGAAGGAGACGACCGCGACGGAGATCATACTTGTCCATATCATCGACAGCGCGTTTTTCCGGCGCAGGAGGCCGGAGTAGAAGAAGCCGAGGCCTGGGATCATGAGCCAGACCAGGGCGGTGGATGCCAGGACCCATGCGATGTCGCCGAGGTTGTAAATCACGGTGTCGCCCGCCGCGTCGACATAGCTCATGTCCCCCGCTGTACCAACAAAACTTAGCCTTGAACACAAGAAGAAAGGGAGGGCACGGACAAGTAGGGGTGTAGTTGAAGCTGACCATGTTGAGAGACGGGAGGGGTCGTTTTCGGCGGAGTCAGACCCGCGCGGCGATGTTTTATAGAGTGCCATGGGATATCCAGCCTTAAAGTTGAGATTGTGGCGCGTACCACACACTTGCGATAAGCGCTCGCTGACATATTTGTTCCCAGGCTCCTTTTATCGTCCAATCACAGCGGCGTGGAACGCTTATCTTCAAGACATACCCCTCCTGGAAGGGGTATTCAGGTGAGAGACACGGTTCATCATTCAACGTTGTACATGGGCTTGGCGGGGGACTGGAACGATACGGCGGCGAGTACGATGTTTCAACTCGAAGACGCGATGAACTCGTTGTGCGTTTGCCTAATACGCGTTTGCTGGCCTGTGTCCTATTGCGGTGGAGCGCTCGGGATTCGGGAGCTGGTCACGGTCGCTATGCTGGTTTGGCCCCTTATCGCTCTCCCGAACGCGTGCCTAGCAGCCCCTACCGACGGCCGAGCGGGCCACTCCAATATCTGCGGTGCCTCCATGATTCTCCTTTACGCGGATAAGACCTCGGCGCACATAGCCCTGACAGAGATAGGGATATGAAGTGGATGAGCGTTTTGAAATTTGGGGGGCATCGAACAATTTTTGGAACCGTCGACGTCGTTGAGGGTCGTGCGATGTGCATATCACGTATCGCTGAGTCCAGTGAAGAGTAAATTTTTGTATCGTCCCTTCCGGCATCCATGCGCGCTTTTTATTGCTCTTGGAGTGCACTGATAGGCACCGTGTGCTGCGGTATAGGCCCGTATGGCAATTGATACGGGAGATAACGAACTTCTACTCCCAAAGCACAGCCAGGGTACGTGATAAGCCAATATTCTGATACCCCACAATGTGCCTGAACTCGAGAAAAGACGAGGGAGGAATGCAGAGACAAAAACTTTGGTCTGAGGCTAGAGCTTACAGGGCGCACCCATGACCGATTTTATCTTCCAAGTTCCAAAGTTCCATCGATCCTGCCAAACGACGAGCAGTAAGTCCAATGATTCTCGCGATCGTGGTGCGAACGACCATTGCATAATTGAATCACGGAACGCGCCAAAAGGTCTGCTAAGAAAAGACCCTGCTTCCTGGACCCTTCACCTCCAACACCGTTAAACCTGGGGGAAGCATCATATTCAAGAAACGCAAGTAACCCCAGACTCATCGAAAAGTTCCCTACCAAGCTCCCAACGTCTGAGCCAAGGTGAGAAGCCCCACGCCCAAAGAAGGGCCACAGATATAGGGGGCAGGCGCGGTACCAAATTTAGAATTCCCCGCTTTGTCCTTGTTACCCCCAGCCGCCTCCGCAAGCACACCCACACAAACCCACAAAAAATCACCCGTCACCGTCACCGTCTTCTCCAACGCGACTGTACGGGAATGGCGAGCCTCCCCCTCGCCGCGCGCCATCTCCGCCTCCTCCGGAGCAGGCCCGTATCCATATGCAGTACCCGCGCTCGCGCTCTCCACCTCACCCCCGTCGGTTCGTACTCTTTTTAAGTCACGGAAGAGGAAGGTCTAACGCAGCATGTTGAATAGTGCATAAAAAGAAGGCGAACGTGGAGATTGATGATTTGTTCTCGGATGAGGTGGAAGAGGACCTCATTCAAGGCGTCTCCCCCTCTCCCAAAGCCTCTTCCTCACCCAAACCCCAAGCGCAAGCCAAATCCTCCAACATAATCAAATCCACCACCACCCCCTCTGCCTCTGCCTCCACCCCCTCACCCACCCCTTCACCCAAGGAACCCACCAAACCCAAACGCCCCCGCCTCTCCCCCAAATCCCGCACCGCCCGCTTCGACGCCCTCACCGCCTTCATCGTCCCGCGGCTCGGGCGCAAGCCCGAGATCAAGATGCCCATGGTGAAGAAGGGCGCGTGGGCGCAGCTGCTGCAGCTCGCGACGACGGAGGCGCAGCTTGCACAGGTGGCGGAGATGTTCCCTGGGTGGAGGGAGAGTGGGAATGAGTTTGATGAGGCGTTTGGGGAGGCTTTCGTCCGTACGTTTTTTCCTCCCTTTCCTTCTCCCTCGCAAAAACAAAGTATGAACATTAACGCGTACAACACAGGCCGCTGCGAAGAACTCTCCACCCCCCTCCTCGCCCTCCGCATCTTCGGCTCCTACGCCAAATACACCCTCCCCCTCTCCCTCCCAGCCGCCCAACACCTCCTCCACTCCCTGCACACGCACCACCCCCTGCCCTCCGTCATGACCGCCGCCGCCCTGTACCCCATCTACGGGCTGGGCAAGGTCGAGGAGGACCTGGTGGGGTGTACCCTGGTGATGGCGGCGTGCTTTCGGGAGGGGGGGAGGGAGGCGGTGGGGGTGGGGAGGGGGCTGGTGCCGTGTTTGGAGAGGCTGCTGAAGAGGGATGGGAGGAGGGGGAGGAAAGTGGAGGAGGGTGGGAGGGAGGGGAGGGAGGAGAGGAGGGAGGTGTGGGTGAAGTGGGCGCTGGGGAAGGTGGATAAGGCGTTGGTTGTGATGGGGGGTGGGGAGAGGGTGGATTGGTTGAGTGTGTGGAGGGAGAGGAGGGGGCATATTGCTTCGGCTAGTAAATTGTGAGATAATTTGTGTTGCTTTTTGAATTGATATTTTTTTCTTTACATGGCGGGAAGCTTAGTGGTCGGACGGCGGGAGTGAGGCTTATCCGAACTTCGCCCCCTTCTACCCTAGCGCTGTTGGTGTAACTGCAGCACACCCTGTCTTCGTAAATGCAGGTCATTGAAATTGCATCAGGGAGGAGCTCGTTCAACTCGGGCGCAGGGCATAACCGGCGACACTTGTTGTGCCCATGTCGTTTTAGCTCAGGCTTTCTAAGTTTTTAGACACTCAAGCTGGGTCGGACTGTGGACAGGGAGTCCTTATCCGAAGTTTGCCTCCTTCTACACTAGCCCTGTTGGTGTAACTGCAGCACACCCTGTCTACATAAATGGAGTTGCTGAAATTGCATCAGGGAGGAGCTCGTTCGACTCGGGCGCAGGGCATGGTCCACCTCTTTCGTTTTGCCCATCTCATTTTGGTTGGGGCTCTGTAAGGTTTTGGACGCCCGAGAGGCTTGTGGTGTCACTATACCGTCTGCAACTTGCAAGTTACCGCGCATTTTGGCTAGGGCTCTGTAAGTTTTCGACACCCGAGTTTGTCATGTCGCTATACGGTCTGCAACTTTTACCGGGGGCTGCAGGTCGCCTACAGCTCGGATGGGCACGTTTCCATGGAGCCCCGCTGGTGTACCTGGTATAGCACGCCCTGGTTATGTGCGCTCTCAGTAACAATTCTTACTATCAGGGAGGAGCTCGTTCGATTCGGGCGCGGGGCATAGCTCCGATGTATGACATCCTGTTTTTGCTCCAGTTTCAGCACACATTCGACATCCTCGCAGTAATGGATGGGGGCGGCACGCACGCGTTTCCGTGTAGCCCCGCTGGTGTACCTGGTATAGCACGCCCCGTATACGTGTACTTCCACTTATCACGCTTAGGGAGGAGCTCGTTCGATTCGGGCGCGGGGCATACCTGGGGTGTATGATATCCTGTTTTTAACTCGAGGTTGAGTCCGCGCGAAATACGAGTGAACAGCGCACCACACCTACGCTCCCATGTAGCCCCGCCGGTGTAACGGCAGCACGCCCTTCCGCTATGTGGATGTATACGACATTATTGGGGCGGAGCTCGTTCGACTCGAGCGGGGGGCAATAGTGGCGAGTGCCGGAATCTGGTACAAATTTTGTCTGGGGAGGGGAGCTGAATGTTGGACGGTTTAGAGCGCGGGGTCTGTATCATGAATCACTGACATTCCTAGGTTGGCCAGGCGTTACTAGTGCACTCATCATTAGAGTCACGATAGTGGGATTGGCCAGACGGTCAACTTGAACGACCCGTCTCAATCGCGGTGCGGGAGTTGCCGAACATCCTCATCTTCTTACCATGATCATGCTCCCGAGTCCCCGTAGCGTCGCCAGCCCCGATGAACTCCAGCTGACTGCTACAACATGAATTTCACTGTCACATCGAACGACTGTTTGGAAAACTCCCAGAAACAGCGCGCGTTGTTGAAGAGTCTTCCAAAACCGGTCTCCGAGATCAACGCACGCATATCCGCCTTGAACATAAGTAACGCCGATGTTGACCCGCAACCAGACTCACTGCACTGGAGAATTACCTCGAGTCGTGCCGGCCCCATGGATAGTCCGATCTCACGTAAATACAACGCACTTCGGTCGCGGCTGATAGTCTCGTGGCCACGAACCTCAGCTGTAGCCTTCTACGCGATTGTCACAGAAGACACGGTGTCGGCGAAACAGGTCTACAGATCACATATTCCGCATGTTGCTCATGAATTTACTAGACGACATCGCTCTATAAAAGTCGGTCAAATGACTAAAAAGCCGCACTGCCCGCGTTCCTAGTGAGAAACATTCGGCATACGCTTATTTCCTTCGCATTGATCGCGATGTTTCGCCATAGGATCATGAATTTTGGAATACACCGGGTATTTAAAAGCAGGGCTCTGTGACACGGAGGACCCTTCCTGATCCTTGCGTAGGAACTCGTCAGCTCTACTGTAAGTGAGATGCTGGGGAAGAATTTATTAACACTTAGCACTTGTGTTTCTTTGGGCTTGGCTGCGACGCCGTGGGTGAGTTTTCATTATATCAGAGGAACTTTCACTCATACCTCGTTGTAAAGCCGTTCGATCTAACAACCATATCTGCGCCTGATGGGTCTGTGACGGCGAAGTTTGTGTCGTTTGGCGCAACTATGACTGAGTTGTGGGTGAAAGACAAGAACGGGAAGCTCAGAGATGTCGTTCTCGGATACGATGACAATGTACGTCAACGTGGTCACATTCCGACTCTTTGTTGATGAAGTGTCAGTCCCGCCTCCTCACCGATCCAGATCATCCAGTTTTCAACCCTATCGTCGGCCGGTAAGTCAATTTGTTGTTATTTCTGTATCTATTCAGACCTTTATGTCCAACAGTTATGCGAACCGCCTGAAGAACGGTGAGCATTTGTATTCTCATTATCTTACGTTGCCCCTACTAAGGAATCACAAGGAACTTTCTCAATTCCCATTACAAAGCTTCCACAACCAGATGGACCCAACGTCTACCATATCCCCACTAACGACCATGATGGTATGAAGACTTTTTTCGAATATTTTCTCATCATCTCCTGATGATGAACTTGTGTTCAGGACAGGCTAGTTTTCTCCAACCCGGCGTTCGGTAAATTTTTAATTTTGAGTCGCTTCAGGTCACTCTCCATGGAGGTATTTATGGGTGGGATCGTCGCAACTGGACTCTGGTGTCCAAGACACCTACGAGCGTCACCTACAAACATCTCGACGCTGCAGATGAGGGTTTCCCCGGGAATGTCACCGCATTCGTCAGTCGGCACCTCCGAATTGCGCCACCACTAGCTAATGATAATGTTATTTGCGAGATAGGCTACCCATACGGTCACCAATGGTGGAGTGCTGAAGACCGTAGTTCGTGCAACTGCTACCGAGAAGGTCCGATCTCAGTTAATCCGCCCTTGCGCATTGCTCAGCGACTTATGCAGACTCCTATCATGCTCACACAACATATCTACTGGTTAGAAAGCCTTCGTTACACTCCTTGAGAAAAGCTCATGTACCAAAACTTAGGAACTTGGATGCCTTCCAAGGCGGAAGCAACGATATACTTTCCCATCATCTTCAAGTTGACTCTTCTCGAGTAATTGCCCTTGACGGCAACGCTATCCCCACCGGCGATTTCATCGCTGTTGGAGGCACGCCTTTCGATTTCAGGAAAGAAAAGAAGATTGGTGCTCGCTGGAACGACACCATCGACTTGTGCGGGCAGGGTACGGTCATATCTTTTGTGACTTCAGAATCCCACCATGATGCTCGATATCCCTAGGATGCCAAGGGTATGATAGTGGGTGGATTTATGACCGTCCTGAGGTTTCCAGGACCGGGACGTCGCTTTGGAGTGACCTCTCCGGCATCAGGTGAGCTCGGTGAAACGCCGTTGGAGTAAGTATGCTTCGGCTCGCTGACCTAGCTCCGCAGGGTTGATATCTCGACGAATCAGCCGGCAGTCCAGGTCTACTCTGCTTTCTGGCTTAACACCCCTCGGAAACTAGTTCATGGCGGCCCCTCGCTCAATTATTCAAGGTGGTCCGCTGTGGCGATCGAGCAGGAGGGATATCTTGACGCGATCAACACGCCAGAATTCAATGTGGACCAGATTTGTGAGTCGTCTCCCTCGTGACGAAAGCGCTTAGCCGTGAATAACCGATGACGGCACAGACTACCCTGGGAGGGACTTTGAATGGAGCTCGACATATAAATTCTCTGTCATGAACTAAACCCCATGTATAACATTCGTTCCTGCCCCTTCGCTTGCGATAATGAAGTATCTTGGGTGCTGCTCTCTGAGCGCTTTGTGCGCTTATCTGCTTTTGACTGGTACTTTCTAGGACAGTATGTAACAAATGTTCACGAGACACCATTCTTTCGTTGAGAACATTCATCCTGCCATGTTATCGCAGTGTCCGAGCATTCGACCTTTCATGCCGACTGGCCCGTGTGATCAAGATTTCCCGGGAGACGTCTGAATAAGGCAACTCGGTCATCAAAACGCAATATTTGGTGCATGTTTCTTCTTCTCTCTCAGACTCTCTGACGTTCGGCATCGAAAGTACTTCCAAACTGTGCCTGCACTTGTGCTTATTAGGACTCAACGCCCATTCCTTTCGTCGAGAACGGTATACGGAATCAACCAAACCCATGGACCGAGGCAGTAGAGGAAGACACGATCCCAATTAAAACCTTCATATCTGATCATGGCGCCCTTCACTCCAGTATGCGACGCTGGCCGAGCCCTTCCATGCATGCGGTCATCGTTCATCTACTGAGGTATAAAATATGGACCCTTCTTCCAGCATTTCGCTCTTTGTTGCGCTCAGTTCAACGTTTTCCGAACGCCTCTTGGTTTCTTCCCGTTGACTATGTCAGATGAGCTCTCGGTTCCAGAACTGACGAACATCGCAAGCCACTTGTACTTGTCCATCTTGCACTTCACAATAGGTGAACACTCCTGTTAATGAACCTTCTGTCAGAATGGCAGCGAAGATGTTCTCCCTCGCGTCGTGTGGTATGCTCGCTGTCTCAGATAACCCTCGGCTTTGGGCTAATCTTGGGAGTCCAGTGATGCTGTTTTATGACATCGCCCTCACTATGGACGAGGAAGTTGAGCGTGTATGGCTGAGGCGGTTTACGCCTATGACTGGCCTATGGTTTCTGGTCAGTTCCTCGGTGGATTCTGCTTGACTACATTGACGTCATGTTGACCACAGAACCGCTATCTCTCGCCATTGGGTTTCATTGTGGTCACGACCTGCAAGTCGCCCCGAACCTATGTTACTCTCGTACACGAAATTGATTGCGACCGCATCAGCGTTTCATCAACCATGGAATAAAGAAGTCTGCCATCGCTACGTCTTGTTCCCGGAGGCTCTTAAGATCGTCACGTCGTTTACCATCGGAGGTATTTGCGAAATTCTTTCTGTCCAGACAGTACGACGTCTAACGTGGTTGCAGTGGTTTTTATTATTCGCCTGTACGCCATATACTCTCGTAGTATGACGGTAGCCATCTTGGGTGGGTTGTTTCTTGCAGCAGAATTGGGCATCAAGACAGTGGGCGGTTCTGATTGCTAAGTCCTTTCATGCCCCTTATCTATCTCCCGTTTAGTGGTCTTTCACGGATGGAACGAGTCTTGACCTACCAAATGGTACGTTTCTTTGAATGTACTTCCAAAATCTTGTTTGATGATTGAGCGCTTTTCAGGTCTTATTGGCTGCATATTAGTTGGAAGAAACGACGCGTCAGCTCTCGAACGTTTGCGTACCTTGATTTTTGTCCTGACCTCGTGGTAGTCGTTTCGTCTTCACATGGGTAGCAGAACTTGCTTTTGGTATGTTCTTTGGTCTCCC